CCCCCAGGTGGGAATCACTCCCCTGTCCCAGGTGTGACATCACTCCCAGTCCCAGGTGTGAATCACTCCCCCCATCCCCAGGTGTGAATCACTCCCCTGTCCCAGGTGTGAATCACTCACCTGTCCCAGGTGTGAATCACTCACCTGTCCCCAGGTGTGAATCACTCCCCTGTCCCAGGTGTGACATCACTCCCCTGTCCCAGGTGTGACATCACTCCCCTACCCCCAGGTGTGAATCACTCACCTGTCCCAGGTGTGACATCACTCACCTGTCCCAGGTGTGACATCACTCCCCTGTCCCAGGTGTGACATCACTCCCCTGTCCCAGGTGTGACATCACTCCCCCATCCCAGGTGTGACATCACTCACCTGTCCCAGGTGTGACATCACTCACCTGCCCCAGGTGTGACATCACTCCCTGTCCCAGGTGTGAATCACTCCCCTGTCCCAGGTGTGAATCACTCCCCCATCCCCAGGTGTGACGTCACTCACCTGTCCCAGGTGTGAATCACTCCCCTGTCCCAGGTGTGAATCACTCACCTGTCCCAGGTGTGAATCACTCACCTGTCCCAGGTGTGAATCACTCCCCTGTCCCCAGGTGTGAATCACTCCCCTGTCCCCAGGTGTGACGTCACTCCCCTGTCCCAGGTGTGACGTCACTCACCTGTCCCAGGTGTGAATCACTCCCCTGTCCCAGGTGTGACATCACTCCCCTGTCCCAGGTGTGACATCACTCACCTGTCCCAGGTGTGACATCACTCACCTGTCCCAGGTGTGACATCACTCCCCTGTCCCAGGTGTGAATCACTCACCTGCCCCCAGGTGTGAATCACTCCCTGTCCCAGGTGTGAATCACTCCCCTGTCCCCAGGTGTGAATCACTCACTTGCCCCCAGGTGTGAATCACTCACCTGTCCCAGGTGTGACGTCACTCCCCTGTCCCAGGTGTGACATCACTCACCTGTCCCAGCTGTGACGTCACTCCCCTGTCCCCAGGTGTGAATCACTCCCCTGTCCCAGGTGTGACATCACTCCCCTGTCCCCAGGTGTGACATCACTCCCCTGTCCCCAGGTGTGACATCACTCACCTGTCCCAGCTGTGACGTCACTCCCCTGTCCCAGGTGTGAATCACTCCCAGTCCCAGGTGTGAATCACTCACCTGTCCCAGGTGTGACATCACTCCCCTGTCCCAGGTGTGAATCACTCCCCTGTCCCAGGTGTGACATCACTCCTCTGTCCCAGGTGTGACGTCACTCCCCTGTCCCAGGTGTGAATCACTCACCTGTCCCAGGTGTGAATCACTCCCATTCCCAGGTGTGACATCACTCCCTGTCCCAGGTGTGAATCACTCACCTGTCCCAGGTGTGACATCACTCCCCTGTCCCAGGTGTGACATCACTCACCTGTCCCAGGTGTGAATCACTCCCCTGTCCCAGGTGTGACATCACTCCACCTGTCCCAGGTGTGAATCACTCCCCTGTCCCAGGTGTGACATCACTCCCCTGTCCCAGGTGTGACATCACTCCCCTGTCCCAGGTGTGACATCACTCCCCTGTCCCAGGTGTGACATCACTCACCTGTCCCAGGTGTGAATCACTCCCCTGTCCCAGGTGTGAATCACTCACCTGTCCCAGGTGTGACATCACTCCCCTGTCCCAGGTGTGAATCACTCACCTGTCCCAGGTGTGAATCACTCCCCCATCCCCAGGTGTGAATCACTCACCTGTCCCAGGTGTGAATCCCTCACTCACCTGCTCGGAGTCGCGGCGGGCGCCGTTGAGGGGGTCGGGCAGGGCCACCTGCGGGTACAACCCCCGGGCCAGCACCAGCCCCAGCAGGGCCACCTGGGGCGGGGCCAGGTGAGCCCCACAGGTGAGACGCAGCTCCCGAGGGTCGTGGCGCAGCTCGAACCGAACGGCCTGGGGGGGGGGGACAGGTGAGGGACACCTGGACAGGTGAGGGGCACCTGAGACAGGGGAGGGGCACCTGGGACACCTGGGAGGGGTGAGGGGGCACCAGGGACAGGGGAGGGGCACCTGGGACAAGTGAGTGGACTCCTGGACAGGTGAGGGACACCTGGGGATCGATAGTGCCCACCTGGACCAGGTGAGGGGCACCTGGGACAGGGGAGGGGTCACCTGGGAGAGGGGAGGGGTCACCTGGGAGAGGGGAGGGGTGCCTGGGCACCTGGGATGGGTGAGGACACCTGGGACAGGTGAGGGGCACTGGATGGAGAGTGCTCACCTGGTGGCACCTGAGGGTGAGGGACACCTGAGACAGGTGAGGGGCACCTGGGACAGGGGAGGTGACATCTGGGACACCTGGGATGTGGGGGACTCCTGGACAGGTGAGGGACACCTGAGGATGACAGTGCACCTGGGACAGGTGAGGCACCTGGGACAGGGGAGGGCACCTGGGACGAGGAGGGTCACCTGGGACAGGTGAGGGGCACCTGGGCACCTGGGATGGGTGAGGGACACCAGGGACAGGTGAGGGACACCTGGGGATCGATAGTGCCCACCTGGGACAGGTGAGGGACACCTGAACAGGTGAGGGGCACCTGGGACAGGAGGCACCTGGGACACCTGGGACAGGGGAGGGGCACCTGGGACAGGTGAGGGGCACCTGGGACACCTGGGATGGGTGAGGGGCACCTGGGACAGGTGAGGGGCACCTGGGACAGGTGAGGGGTCATATGGGACAAGTGAGGGGACACCTGGACAGGTGAGGGGTACCCAGACAGGTGAGGCACCTGGGTCACGTGGGACAGGTGAGGGGCACCTGGGACAGGGGAGGGGCACCTGGGTTACGTGGGACAGGTGAGGGGCTCCTGGGACAGGTGAGGGGCACCTGGGACACATGGGACAGGTGAGAGGGCACCTGGGACAGGGGAGGGGCACCTGAGACACGTGGGACAGGTGAGGGACACCTGGGACAGGTAAGGGGGCACCTGGGACAGGTGAGGGACACCTGGGGAGCTGGGACAGGTAAGGGGGCACCTGGGACAGGTGAGGGACACCTGGGGAGCTGGGACAGGTGAGGGACACCTGGGACAGGTGAGGGGCACCTGGGACACATGGGACAGGTGAGAGGGCACCTGGGACAGGGGAGGGGCACCTGGGTCACGTGGGACAGGTGAGGGACACCTGGGACAGGTAAGGGGGCACCTGGGACAGGTGAGGGGCACCTGGGTCACGTGGGACAGGTGAGGGGACACCTGGGACAGGTGAGGGGCACCTGGGACAGGGGAGGGGACACCTGGGCACCCACAGGTGAGCATCACCTGGGGATTGACAGTGCCCACCCAGCGCAGGTAAGGGGCTCACCTGGCTTGCAGGTGAGGGCTCACCTGGATGTCGACTCTGCCCCTCTCCTGGGTCTCCTCCTCCTCCTCCTCCTCCTCCTCCTCGCCCTGGTTCAGCCGCAGCACCTGCGGGCGCCGCTCACCTGCGCGCTGGGCGTGGCTCAGCAGGTGCCGCTCCCGACGCCCCCCCCGGCGCCGCTCGGCCCTTCCGGAACCTTCCGAGAGCAGCTCCTGCTCCTGCAGCAGCTCCTGAGGGGAGGGGGCGACACGGGGGACGCACAGGTGAGGGTGGGACAGGTGAGGGGCTGAACAGATGAGGGTGGGACAGGTGAGAGTGGGACAGGTGAGGGGCTGAACAGGTGAGTCCTTGCACAGGTGAGGGGTGAACAGATGAGGGGTGAACAGGTGAGGGGTGAACAGGTGAGTCCTCTGCACAGCTGAGGGGTGAACAGATGAGGGGTGAACAGGTGAGGGGCTGGACAGGTGAGTCCTCAGACAGGTGAGGGGTTGAACAGGTGAGTCCCTGCACAGGTGAGGGGTGAACAGGTGAGGGGGCTGCACAGGTGAGTCCTCAGACAGGTGAGGGGTTGAACAGGTGAATCCCTGCACAGGTGAGTCCTCAGACAGGTGAGGGGCTGAACAGGTGAGTCCCTGCACAGGTGAGGGGTGAACAGGTGAGGGGGCTGCACAGGTGAGTCCTCAGACAGGTGTGGGGTTGAACAGGTGAATCCCTGCACAGGTGAGGGGTTGAACAGGTGAGGGGCTGCACAGGTGAGTCCCTGCACAGGTGAGGGGTTGAACAGGTGAGTCCCTGCACAGGTGAGGGGTTGAACAGGTGAGTCCCTGCACAGGTGAGTCCTCAGACAGGTGAGGGGCTGAACAGGTGAGTCCCTGCACAGGTGAGAGCCTGGACAGGTGAGAACCTGGATAGGTGAGCGAGAAGGCCTGGCCAGGTGAGCTGTGGGCCAGGTGAGCACCCAGCCAGCTAAGGGGACAGACGGGTGAACACCTTGACAGGTGAGGGGCCAGGTGAGCAGCTGGGCAGGTGAGGGGTCAGACAGGTGAACACCTTGACAGGTGAGTGGCCAGGTGAGCAGCTGGGCAGGTGAGGGGTCAGACAGATGAGCACCTTGACAGGTGAGGGGCCAGGTGGGCTGTGGGCCAGGTGAGCACCGAGCCAGGTGAGGGGTCAGACGGGTGAACACCTTGACAGGTGAGGGGTCAGGTGGGCTGTGGGCCAGGTGAGCAGCTGGACAGGTGAGGGACAGACGGGTGAACACCTTGACAGGTGAGAGGCCAGGTGGGCTGTGGGCCAGGTGAGGGACAGACGGGTGAGCACCTTGACAGGTGAGGGGCCAGGTGGGCTGTGGGCCAGGTGAGCAGCTGGGCAGGTGAGGGGTCAGACAGGTGAGCACCTTGACAGGTGAGGTGCCAGGTGAGCTGTGGGCCAGGTGAGGGACAGACGGGTGAGCACCTTGACAGGTGAGAGGCCAGGTGGGCTGTGGGCCAGGTGAGGGACAGACGGGTGAGCACCTTGACAGGTGAGGTGCCAGGTGAGCTGTGGGCCAGGTGAGCAGCTGGGCAGGTGAGGGGTCAGACAGGTGAGCAGGTGTGCAGGCGTTGGCTCACCTGGAACTGGCGCCGCAGGTCGGCGATCTCGTAGAGCCGGTGCTCGGCCACGCCCCGACGGCGGCACCACCGGCGGGAGCTCCTGCCGCGCTCGGCCTTCACCTGGACACACCTGGTCACACCTGGGGGCACCTGCACCCCCCCAGGGCAACCCCCACCTCAAACCAACCCCACCTGGGCACACCTGGGCACACCTGGGGGGCACCTGGACCCCCCAGAGCAGCCCCACCTCAAACCAACCCCACCTGGGCACACCTGGGGGGCACTTGGACCCCCCAGGGCAGCCCCAACCTCAAACCAATCCCACCTGGGCACACCTGGTGGGCACTCGGACCCCCCAGGGCAGACCCAACCACAAACCAACCCCACCTGGGCACACCTGGGCACACCTGGTGGGCACTCGGACCCCCCAGGGCAGACCCAACCACAAACCAACCCCACCTGGGCACACCTGGGGGGTTCCTGAACCCCCCCAAACCCAGAGTCTCCCCCACCCCACCTGTGCCCCCTCAGGTGACCTGGGCACACCTGGGCACACCTGGGGGGCACCTGAACCCCCCAAAACCCACTGTGTCCCCCCACCCCACCTGTGCCCCCCAGGTGAGCTCACCTGCAGCCACTGGTTGAAGAGGTTGAGCAGCGTCAGGGGGTCCCCGTGGGGGCTCTGCAGGTGCCGCCGGGGCTCGGCCCAGGTGTGCCCCGAGGGGGAGGGGCGCAGGAAGGGGGAGGGGACGCTCAGCGCCGCCGCCACCGTCAGGGTGGGCTCCGCCAGGTGCAGCAGAGCCCCCAGCACCAGCACCTTACCTGGGCACAGGTGAGGGGGACAGGTGAGACAGGGACAACAGAACCAGCACCTTACCTGGGCACAGGTGAGGGGAGGACAGGTGAGACAGGTGAGCTCAGGTGAACTCAGGTGAGGACAGGTGAGAACAGGTGAGCTCAGGTGGGTTCAGATGAGTTCAGGTGAGGACAGATGAATTCAGGGGAGGACAGGTGAGCTCAGGGGGGCTCAGGTGAGGACAGGTGAGCTCAGGTGAGGACAGGTGAGCTCAGGTGGGTTCAGATGAGTTCAGGTGAGGACAGATGAATTCAGGGGAGGACAGGTGAGCTCAGGGGGGCTCAGGTGTGCTCAGGTGGGTTCAGATGAGTTCAGGTGAGGACAGGTGAGCTCAGGTGAGGGCAGATGAATACAGGTGAGGACAGGTGAGCTCAGGGGGCTCAGGTGAGGACAGGTGAGCTCAGGTGAGGGCAGATGAATACAGGTGAGGACAGGTGAGCTCAGAGGGGCTCAGGTGAGGACAGGTGAGCTCAGGTGAGCCCAGATAAGCTCCTATCAGTTCAGGTGAGGACAGATGAGCTCAGGTGGGCTCAGGTGAGTTCAGGTGAGGACAGGTAAGCTCAGGTGGGCTCAGGTGAGAACAGGTGAGCTCAGGTGGGCTCAGATGAGTTCAGGTGAGGACAGGTAAGCTCAGGTGGGCTTAGGTGAGGACAGGTGAGTTCAGGTGGGTTCAGGTGAGGACAGGTAAGTCAGGTGGGCTTAGGTGAGGACAGGTGAGCTCAGATGGGCTCAGGGGGCTCAGGTGAGTTCACGTGAGGGCAGTGAGTTCAGATGAGTTCAGGTAAGCTCAGGTGGGCTCAGGTGAGCTCAGGTGAGGACAGGTGACCCCCCCAGCACTCACCCACCACGACATCGACGGGCAGGTGAGCCAGCAGGTGGCCAATGGGGGTGAGGTCCTCGTGCTCGTCCAGGGCCCCCTGGTCCTGCAGGTACCTGAGCGCCACCTCCACGCTGGCGGGGGGAGGGGCCTCCAGGAACGGGAACGTCCGCGGGTCCCCCAGCCCCAGGCTCTTCACCTGCACAGGTGGGTGGGCACACCTGGGTGAGCCCAACCCCCCCCTCACCTGCCTGACCACGTTCTGTCCCCAAAACCCCCCCAGATCCAGCACAGGTGAGGTCCCAGACTCACCTGGACCACCCCTTTGCCCCCCTCACCTGTCTGACCAGGTTCTATCCCCAAAACCCCCCGAAATCCAGCACAGGTGAGACCCCAGACTCACCTGACACCACCCCTTTTTCCCCTCACCTGTCTGACCACGTTCCCACCCCAGATCTAGCACAGGTGAGGCCCCAGACTCACCTGGACCACCCCTTTGCCCCCTCACCTGTCTGACCACACTCCCACCCCAAACCCCCAAAGCCCCCCAAATCCAGCACAGGTGAGGCCTCAGACTCACCTGACACCACCCCTTTGCCCCCCTCACCTGTCTGACCAGGTTCCCACCCCAAAACCCCAAATCCCACCCCAAAATCCCCAAATCCCACCCCAGACCCAGCACAGGTGACGCCACAGCCTCACCTGGTGCCATGCCCCACCCCCGAGCTCCCACCTGCCCCTCCCACCACCCCCACCCCCCAGAGCCCCTGGACGTGGCCAGGTGAGCTCACCTGCAGCACCAGGGAGTCGAGGGCCACCCTGTGGATCTCGGGCTGGGGGTACCTGGCCCAGGTGTGCAGGAGCTCTCGGGAGTAGAGGCGGATGCAGGTGCCGGGGCCGGTGCGGCCGGCGCGGCCCTTGCGCTGCTCGGCGCTGGCCCGGCTGATCCACAACTCCTGCAGCCGCCTCACCTTGGCCTGGGCATCGTACCTGAGCTCCTTCACCTTACCTGGGCACAGGGGGAGGCTCAGGTGAGGCTCAGGTGAGGCTCAGGTGAGCAGGGAGGGGCTCAGGTGGCCAGGGAGGGGCAGGTGCCAGGCGCTGGCCCGGCTGATCCACGACTCCTGCAGCCGCCTCACCTTGGCCTGCGCGTCGTACCTGAGCTCCTTCACCTTACCTGGGCACGGGGGAGGGGCTCAGGTGAGGCTCAGGTGGGCAGGGAGGGGCTCAGGTGGGTAGGGAGGGGCAGGTCCCAGGCGCTGGCCCGGCTGATCCACGACTCCTGCAGCCGCCTCACCTTGGCCTGCGCGTCATACCTGAGCCTCTTCACCTTACCTGGGCACGGGGGGCTCAGGTGAGGCTCAGGTGGGCAGGGAGGGGCTCAGGTAGGCAGGGAGGGGCTCAGGTGGGCAGGGAGGGGCAGGTCCCAGGTGCTGGCCTGGCTGATCCACGACTCCTGCAGCCGCCTCACCTTGGCCTGCGCGTCGTACCTGAGCTCCTTCACCTTACCTGGGCACGGGGGAGGCTCAGGTGAGGGGCTCAGGTGGGCAGGGAGGGGCTCAGGTGGGCAGGGAGGGGCAGGTCCCAGGCGCTGGCCCGGCTGATCCACGACTCCTGCAGCCGCCTCACCTTGGCCTGCGCGTCGTACCTGAGCTCCTTCACCTTACCTGGGCACGGGGGGAGGCTCAGGTGAGGGGCTCAGGTGGGCACGGAGGGGCAGGTCCCACCCCAAGGCCCTGGTGCTGGCCCAGGTGAGCCACAGCTCCTACAGCCCCCTCACTTCGTCCTGAGCTCCCTCCCCTCACCTGGGCACAGGTGAGGTTCAGGTGAGGTTCAGGTGAGGTTCAGGTGGGCTGAGAGGGGCAGGGCCAGCCCTAGGTGTGTAAGGAGGATGGGGCTGGCCCAGGTGAGCAGGGCAGGGCCGTTACCTGAGACCAGGTGTGCTGGGAGGCTGGGCCAGCCCAGGTGTGCACGGAGCGTGCGGCTGGCCCAGGTGAGCAGGGCAGGGCCGTTACCTGAGACCAGGTGTGCAGGGAGGGCGGGGCCAGCCCAGGTGTGCAGGGAGGGCAGGGACAGCCCAGGTGAGCAGGGCAGGGCCGTCACCTGAGCCCAGGTGTGCAGGGCAGGGCCGTTACCTGAGCCCAGGTGTGCAGGGCAGGGCGTCACCAGCCCAGGTGTGCAGGGAGGGCGTGGCCGTTACCTGAGTCGACGACGAAGCGCACGCCGTCGATGGTCACCGAGGTCTCGGCGATGTTGGTGGCCAGGATGCACTTGCGCACCCCGGGGGGGGGCAGGTGGAACACCTGGGGGGGGGGGACACGCACCTGAAAACACCTGGGCAGGGCGGGGCTGCAGCCCAGAAACACCTGGGGGACCCAGGGGGAGCAGCCCCCCCCTCACCTGAACACCCAGGGGATGAGTCTGACCTCACCTGGGACTTCCCAAAACACACCTGGGAGCCCCCAAAAAACAGATCTGACCCCCCCAAACACACACCTGGGACCCCCCCAAACACTCACCTGGGATCCCCACACACCTGGGACACCCAAACACACACCTGGGACCCCCAAACACACACCTGGGACTCCCCCAAACACACACCTGGGACCCCCCAATCACACCTGGAACCCCCCTAAACACACACCTGGGCCCCCCAAACACACACCTGGGACCCCCCCAAACACACACCTGGGACACCCCCAACACACACCTGGGACATCCAAACACACCTGGGACCCCCAAACACACACCTGGGACCCCCAAACACACACCTGGGACCCCCAAACACACACCTGGGACCTCCAAACACACACCTGTGACCCCCAATACACACCTGGGCCCCCAAACACACACCTGGGACCCTCCCAAACACACACCTGGGACCCCCAAACACACACCTGTGCCCCCCAAACACACACCTGGGACCCTCCCAAACACACACCTGGGACCCCCAAACACACACCTGGGACCCCAAACACACCTGAGACCCCAGTCACACCTGTGCCCCATCACATATCTGTGCCCCCCTCACCTTGTCCTGCTGCTCGGCAGGTAGCTGCACGTCAGGGACCCCAAACACACACCTGTGCCCCCAGTCACACCTGTGCCCCCCAAACACACACCTGGGACCCCCCCAGTCACACCTGTGCCCCCACCACACCTTGTCCTGCTACTCAGCAGGTAAGCTGCTGTGCAGGGACCCCAAACACACACCTGGGAGCCCCCCAGTCACACCTGTGCCCCCCAAACACACACCTGGCACCCCCAAACACACACCTGGGACCCCCAAACACACACCTGTGCCCCCAGTCACACCTGTGCCCCCAACTCACCTTGTCCTGCTACTCTGCAGGTACAGCTGTGCCCCCAAACACACACCTGGGACCCCCAAACACACACCTGTGCCCCCAAACACACACCTGTGCCCCCAGTCACACCTGTGACCCCCACTCACACTTGTCCTGCTGCTCTGCAGGTAACCTGCCCCCAAACACACACCTGGGACCCCCAAACACACACCTGGGCCCCCAAACACACACCTGTGACCCCCAACATCACCTTGTCCTGCTGCTCGGCAGGTAAGCTGTGACCCCCAACACACACCTGGGACCCCCAAACACACACCTGTGCCCCCAAACACACCTGTGCCCCCTCACCTTGTCCTGCTGCTCGGCAGGTAAGCTGCCAGCCTGCAGGGGCAGCACGACACAGCGCTGAGTGTGCTGGGCGCACACCTGGGACCCCCAACACACACCTGGGACCCCAAACACACACCTGGGACCCCCAAACACACACCTGTGCCCCCCAATCACACCTGTGCCCCCAAACACACACCTGTGACCCCCAAACACACACCTGTGCCCCCCTCACCTTGTCCTGCTGCTCGGCAGGTAAGCTGCCATGCCATGGGACCCCAAACACACACCTGGCACCCCAAACACACACCTGGGACCCCCAAACACACCTGGGACCCCTAACACACACCTGGGACCCCCAGTCACACCTGTGCCCCCACCTCACCTTGTCCTGCTGCTCAGCAGGTAAGCTGCCACACCTGGGACCCCAAACACACACCTGGGACCCCCAATCACACCTCTGACCCCCAGTCACACCTGTGCCCCCAAACACACACCTGTGCCCCCCCAAACACACACCTGGGACCCCCAAACACACACCTGGCACCCCCAAACACACACCTGGGACCCCCAAACACACCTGTGCCCCCACCTTACGTTGTCCTGCTGCTCGGCAGGTAAGCTGTGCCCCCCACAAACACACCTGGGACCCCCCAGTCACACCTGTGCCCCCACTCACCTTGTCCTGCTGCTCAGGCAGGTAAGCTGTGATCCTCAAACACACATCTGTGACCCCCAAACACACACCTGGGCCCCCAGTCACACCTGTGCCCTCCAGTCACACCTGTGCCCCCCAGTCACACCTGTGCCCCCCCCTCACCTTGTCCTGCTGCTCGGCAGGTAAGCTGTGCCCCCCAAACACACACCTGGGACCCCCAAACACACACCTGTGCCCCCAAACACACACCTGTGCCTCCCCAATCACACCTGTGCCCACCCAGTCACACCTGTGCCCCCCTCACCTGTGTCCTGCTACACGGCAGGTACGCTGTGCCCTCAAACATACACCTGTGCACCCCAAACACACACCTGGGACCCCCAACACACACCTGTGACCCCCCCTCACCTTGTCCTGCTGCTCTGCAGGTAAGCTGTGCCCTCCAAACACACACCTGTGCCCCCCAAACACACACCTGTGACCCCCGCAGTCACACCTGTGCCCCTCTCACCTTGTCCTGCTGCTCGGCAGGTAAGCTGCCATGCAGGGGCAGCACGACCCAGCGCTGGGTGTGCTGGGCGTACACCTGGGACCCCCAAACACACACCTGGGACCCCCCCAGTCACACACCTGTGACCCTCCCAGTCACACCTGTGTCCCCCCCTCACCTTGTCCTGCTGCTCGGCAGGTAAGCTGCCGTGCAGGGACCCCAAACACACACCTGTGCCCCCCAAACACACACCTGTGCCCCCCCAGTCACACCTGGGACTCCCAAACACACATCTGGGACCCCCAAACACACACCTGTGCCCCCCAGTCACACCTGTGCCCCCCCTCACCTTGTCCTGCTGCTCGGCAGGTAAGCTGTGCCCCCCAAACACACACCTGGGACCCCCAAACACACACCTGTGCCCCCCAAACACACACCTGTGCCCTCCCTCACCTTGTCCTGCTGCTCGGCAGATAGCTGTGCCCCCAAACACACACCTGGGACCCCAAACACACACCTGTGCCCCCCTCACCTTGTCCTGCTGCTCGGCAGGTAAGCTGTGCCCCCCAAACACACACCTGTGCCCCCCAAACACACACCTGTGCCCCCCTCACCTTGTCCTGCTGCTCGGCAGGTAAGCTGCCGTGCAGGGGCAGCACGACCCAGCGCTGGGTGTGCTGGGCGTACACCTGGGCAGGGCCCAGCACCTGCTGGATCTCGGCGGCCCCGCTGAGGAAAACCAGGACGTCCCCGCGCTCCTCGCGCGGCACCTGCGCGTCGATGGCCTCCAGCACCCGCAGGTACGGCCCCGCCTCCAGGTGGGTCTGCCTCGGCTCCGAGGGGATGGGCTGGTACAGCACCTGGGCACAGGGGAGGCACACAGGTGAGCACAGGTGAGCACAGGTGAGCACAGGTGAACACACAGATGAGCACCCAGGTGAGCACACAGGTACGGCCCCGCCTCCAGGTAAGCCTGTCTGGGCTCTGAGGGGATGGGCTGGTACAGCACCTGGGCACGGGGGGGCACACAGGTGAGCACAGGTGAGCACACAGGTACGGCCCCGCGTCCAGGTGTGTCTGCCTGGGCTCTGAGGGGATGGGCTGGTACAGCACCTGGGCACGGGGGGGCACACAGGTGAGCACAGGTGAGCACACAGGTGAACACACAGGTGAGCACACAGGTACGGCCCCGTGTCCAGGTGAGCCTGCCGGGGCTCCGAGGGGATGGGCTGGTACAGCACCTGGGCACGGGGGGGCACAGGTGGCACACAGGTGAGCACACAGGTACGGCCCCGTGTCCAGGTGAGCCTGCCGGGGCTCCGAGGGGATGGGCTGGTACAGCACCTGGGCACGGGGGGGGCACAGGTGAGCACACAGGTACAGCCCCGCGTCCAGGTGTGTCTGCCTGGGCTCCGAGGGGATGGGCTGGTACAGCACCTGGGCACAGGGGAGGCACAGGTGGGCACACAGGTGAGCACACAGGTGAGCACACGGTCCAGGTGAGCCTGCTGGGCTACGAGGATGGGCTGGTACAGCACCTGGGCACGGGGGGGCACAGGTGAGCACACAGGTACAGCCCCGCGTCCAGGTGGGTCTGTCTGGGCTCTGAGGGGATGGGCTGGTACAGCACCTGGGCACAGGGGGGCACGGGGGGCACACAGGTGAGCACACAGGTGAGCACACAGGTACGGCCCCGCGTCCAGGTGAGCCTGCCTGGGCTCTGAGGGGATGGGCTGGTACAGCACCTGGGCACAGGGGGGCACGGGGGAGGACAGGTGAGCCTGTCCAGGGTCTGACAGGATGGGCTGCTACAGCACCCGGGCACAGGTGGGCATGGGGGAGGACAGGTGAGCCTGTCCAGGGTCTGACAGGATGGGCTGCTACAGCACCTGGGCACAGGTGGGCATGGGGGAGGACAGGTGAGCCTGTCCAGGGTCTGACAGGATGGGCTGCTACAGCACCTGGGCACACGTGAGCACAGGTGAGCACACAGGTGAGAACCCAGGTGAACACACAGATGAACACACAGGTGAACAGATGAGCACACAGATGAGCACACAGGTGAGCACACAGGTGAGCACACAGATGGGCACACAGATGAGCACACAGGTGGGTACACAGATGAACACACAGGTGGGCACACAGGTGGGCACACAGGTGAGCACAGAGGTGGGCACACAGATGAACACACAGGTGAGCACAGATGAGCACACAGATGAGCACAGGTGGGCACACAGGTGAGCACACAGGTGGGCACACAGGTGAACACAGGTGAGCACACAGGTGAGCACACAGGTGAGCACAGGTGAACACAGATGACTACAGGTGACCACAGGTGAACACACAGGTGAGCAAACAGATGAGCACACAGGTGAACACAGGTGAGCACACAGATGAGCACACAGGTAAGCACAGGTGAGCACAGGAGAACACACAGGTGAACAGATGAGCACACAGGTGAGCACAGGTGAACACAGGTAAGCACAGGTGGGCACACAGGTGAGCACACAGGTGAGCACAGGTGGGTACACAGGTGAACACACAGATGAGCACACAGATGAGCACACAGGTGAGCACAGAACACACAGGTGAACAGCTGAGCACACAGATGAGCACACAGATGAGCACACAGATGAGCACACAGGTGAGCACAGGTGAGCACAGGAGAACACACAGATGAACAGATGAGCACACAGGTGAGCACAGAACACACAGGTGAACAGCTGAGCACACAGATGAGCACACAGATGAGCACACAGATGAGCACACAGGTGAGCACAGGTGGGCACACAGGTGAACACACAGATGAGCACACAGATGAGCACACAGGTGAGCACACAGGTGGGCACAGCTGCTCCTCACCTTGACGGGGTAGAGCCGGCCGGGCACCTGCAGCACGGGGGCTCCCCCGAAGTAGGTGGCGAACAGGTGCGGGTCGCAGGTGGCCGACATGAGCAGCAGGCGCAGGGCGGGGCGCGCCGGGAGCAGGCGCCGCAGCGCCCCCAGCAGGAGGTCCCCGGGCAGGTGCCGCTCGTGCACCTCGTCGGCCACCAGCACCTGGTACCTGCCCAGGGCGGGGTCGCTCTGCAGCTGCCGCAGCAGCAGCCCCAGCGTCACGAACACCAGGTGGGCGCCGCGCCCGCAGGTGCGCTCGAAGCGCGTCTGGAAACCCACCTGGGGACACGGGGAGGGGGGGAGAGAGAGAGAGAAAGGGGGTGTGGGCACGGCATACCTGGCACAGGTGACAGCCCAGCCCGCTGCTCCCAGTGCCCTCCCAGTGCCCCCAGATCGTTCTCACCTGGTACTTGCCAAGGGTCTCCAACCCCACCCTGTGTGCCAGGGGCTGGGCACAGCACACCTGGACAGGTCCCAGTGCCTCCCAGTGCCCTCCCAGTCCCTCACCTCGTACCTGCCGAGGGTCTCGAGCCCCACCCTGCGCGCCAGGGGCTGGGCACAGCACACCTGCACAGATCCCAGTGCCTCCCAGTGCCCTCCCAGTGCCCTCTCAGTCCCTCACCTGGTACCTGCCGAGGGTCTCCAGCCCCACCCTGCACACCAGGGCTGTGCAGGTGACGCGGTGGGGCTGGGCACAGCAGACCTGCACAAGTCCCAGTGCCTCCCAGTGCCTCCAAACCCCTCCCAGTTCCCTCCCAGTGCCCCCAGCACCCCTTACCTCATACCTGCCAAGGGTCTCCATCCTCACCCTGCGCACCAGGGCGGTGCAGGCGGCGCAGCGGGGCTGGGCACAGCACACCTGGATGGGTCCCAGTGCCTCCCAGTACCCCCAGATGTCCCAGTCCATGCTCACCTTGTACCTGCCAAGGGTCTCGAGCCCCACCCTGGCACAGGCGACATGGTGGGGCTGGGCACAGCACACCTGCACAGGTCCCAGTGCCTCCCAGTGCCTCTCAATCCCCTCCCAGTGCCTCCCAGTGCCCTCTCAGCCCCTCCCAGTGCCCCCAGTCATCCCAGCCCATGCTCACCTCGTACCTGCCGAGGGTCTCGAGCCCCACCCTGTGCGCCAGGGGCTGGGCGCAGCTCACCTGGACAGGTCCCAGTGCCTCCCAGTGCCTCCCAGTGCCTCCCAGTGCCTCTCAACCCCTCCCAGTGCCCTCTCAGTCCCCTCCCAGTGCCCCCAGTCATCCCAGCCCATGCTCACCTCGTACCTGCCCAGGGTCTCGAGCCCCACCCTGCGCGCCATGGGCTGGGCACAGCACACCTGGACAGGTCCCAGTGCCTCCCAGTGCCTCTCAATCCCCTCCCAGTGCCCCCCAGTCCCCTCCCAGTGCCCCCAGTTGTCCCAGCCCATGCTCACCTCGTACCTGCCGAGGGTCTCCAGCCCCACCCTGTGCGCCAGGGCGGCGACGCGGCGGGGCTGGGCACAGCTCACCTGGACAGGTCCCAGTGCCTCCCAGTGCCTTCCAGTGCCTCTCAATCCCCTCCCAGTGCCCTCTCAATGCCCTCCCAGTGCCCCCAGTTGTCCCAGCCCATGCTCACCTCGTACCTGCCGAGGGTCTCGAGCCCCACCCTGCGGCGCCAGGGCTGGGCACAGCGCACCTGGGCTGGGCACAACCACCTGGATGGGTCCCAGTGCCTTCCAGTGCCTCCCAGCCCCTCCCAGTGCCCCCAGTTGTCCCAGCCCCTGCTCACCTCGTACCTGCCGAGGGTCTCGAGCCCCACCCTGCGCGCCAGGGGCTGGGCACAGCACACCTGGACAGGTCCCAGTGCCTCCCAGTGCCTCCCAGTGCCCCCAGTTGTCCCAGCCCATGCTCACCTCGTACCTGCCGAGGGTCTCGAGCCCCACCCTGCGCGCCAGGGCGGCGCAGGCGACGCGGCAGGGCTGGGCGCAGCACACCTGGATGGGTCCCAGTGCCTCCCAGTGCCTTCCAGTGCCTCTCAATCCCCTCCCAGTGCCCTCCCAGTGCCCCCAGTCATCCCAGTCCATGCTCACCTTGTACCTGCCCAGGGTCTCGAGCCCCACCCTGCGCGCCAGGGCGGCGCAGGCGACGCGGCGGGGCTGGGCGCAGCACACCTGGCGGTACCCGGCCTCCAGCAGGTACTGGGGCACCTGGGTGGACTTGCCGCAGCCGGTGTCCCCCGCCACCACCAGCACCTGGTGGCGGCCCAGCAGCCCCAGCAGCCGGCGCCGGTGGCGGGCGATGGGCAGGGCGGCCCGGCCGCGCCACAGCCGCGCCAGGCGGGCGAAGGAGCCGCGCTGGAGCAGGCACAGGTAGTGCAGCAGCGCCCGCCGCAGCTCCCTCCGGGCGGGGTCCGCGCGGGGGTGTTCCTGGGGGTCCACAAAGTCCTCGGGGTCCCTCTTCCTGTGTTTCTGGGGGTCCACAAAGTCCTCGGGGTCATCGGAGTCACCTCGATGGCGTTTTGGGGGGGCCCCAGAGTCGCTTCGGGGGCGTTTCGGGTGGTCCTGAGGGTCCCCAGAGTCACCTCCGGGGCGTTTTGGGGGACCCTGAGGGTCCCTGGGGTCACCTCGGGGGCGTTTCAGGGGGTCCTGAGCGTCCCCAGAGTCATCTCGGTGGCGTTTGGGGGGTCCCCAGAGTCATTTTGGTGGCGTTTTGGGGGGTCCCCAGAGTCATTTTGGTGGCGTTTTGGGGGGTCCCCAGAGTCATTTTGGTGGCGTTTTGGGGGACCCTGAGAGTCCCTGGGGTCACCTCGGGGGCGTTTTTGGGGGTCCCCAAAATCTTCAGGGTGGCCTCGGGGGCGTTTTGGGGTCCCACAGTCGTCTCGTGTCGAGTCCTGAGCGTCCCAGAGTCACTCGGGGTGCTTTGGGGGTCCCCAGAGTCATTTTGTGGCGCTTTGGGGGACCCTGAGGGTCCCTGGGGTCATCTCGGTGGCGTTTGGGGGGGTCCCCAGAGTCATTTTGGTAGTGTTTTGGGGGACCCTGAGGGTCCCTGGGGTCACCTCGGTGGCGCTTTGGGGGATCCCCAGAGTCATTTTGGTGGCGTTTTGGGGGGTCCCCAGAGTCATTTTGGTGGCGTTTTGGGGGACCCTGAGGGTCCCTGGGGTCACCTCGGGGGTGTTTCGGGGGGTCCCCAAAGTCTCCAGGGTCATCGGGGTCGCCTCGGGGGCGTTTCGGGGGGTCCTCAGGGTCCCTTCTCCGGTGTTTTGGGGGGTCTCTGGGGTCACCTCGATGGCGTTTTGGGGGGTCTTTAAAGTCCTCAAGGTCCCTTCTCTGGTGTTTTGGGGGTCCGCAAAGTCTCTGGGGTCACCTCGATGGCGTTTTGGGGGGTCCCCAAAGTCCTCAGGGTCCCTTCTCCTGTGTTTTGGGGGGTCCTCAGTGTCCTCAGGGTCCCTTCTCCGGTGTTTGGGGGGGTCTCCAAAGTCCTCAGGGTCCCCTCTCCGGTGTTTTGGGGGGTCTCCAAAGTCCTCAGGGTCCCTTCTCCGGTGTTTGGGGGGGTCTGCAAAGTCTCTGGGTTCACCTCGATGGCGTTTTGGGGGGTCCCCAAAGTCCTCTGATTCCCCTCTCCGGTGTTTTGGGGGGTCCTCAGTGTCATCAGGGTCCCTTCTCCGGTGTTTTGGGGGATCCCCAAAGTCCCTCCTCTGGTGTTTTGGGGGGTCTCCAAAGTCCTCAGGGTCCCCTCTCCGGTGTTTTGGGGGGTCCCCAAAGCCTCCAGAATCCCTGGGGTCACCTCGATGGTGTTTTGGGGGGTCCCCAAAGTCCTCAGGGTCCCCTCCCTGGTGTTCTGCGGGGTCCTGGGGGTCGCCTGGCTGGTATTTTGGAGAGTCCTGGGGGTCCCCTCCTTGGTATTTCGGGGGGTCTTCCCCCCCCAGCAGGGCCAGGTTGATGCGGAGCTGGGGGTCGTAGTGGGGGGGCAGCCCCAGGGGGTTTTGGGGCCCCCCAGATTTGTTGGGGGGCTCCTCCTTTTGGGGGAGGCGTCGGAAGCGCTGCAGGAAGGCCCAGAAATCCCGGAATTCCGAGGGGCTGACGCCGGGGCGGGAGCCACTCCGGGGGGTCCCAGTCGGGGTCCCGGCACTGGGCCCAGTGTCGTTCCCAGTCCCCAGACTGGTCCCAGTGTCGTTCCCAGTCCCCAGACTGGTCCCAGTGCCGCCCACGGGGCCCCTTTTCCAGCGGCATCTCCGGTGGGGGGGCTGGAATGGGATGGGGGGGACAGGGGGGTCATTGGGGGGTGATGGAGGAGCCCCAAACCCAGACAGGACCCCCAAACCTCTCTGGGACCCCCCAAACTCAAATCAACTGCCTGGGACCTACCAACGCCCTCTGGGACCCCCCAAATTCCTGTGGGACCCCCAAACCCAACTCACCTCCCTGGGACTTCCCCAAACCCCTCTGGGACCCTCCCAACCCCCATTTCACCTTCCTGGGACCCCTCAAACCCCTCTGGGACCCCCCAAACCTCTCTGGGACCCCCCAAACTCAAATCAACTCCCTGGGACCCCCCAAACCCCTCTGGGAGCCCCCCAAACCCAAATCACCTCCCTGGGATCCCCCAAACCCCTCTGGGACCCCCAAACCCAACTCACCTCCCTGGGACCCCCCAAATTCCTGTGGGACCCCCAAACCCAACTCACCTCCCTGGGACCCCCCAAACCCCTCTGGGACCCCCCAGACTCCTGTGGGACCCCCAAACCCAAATCACCTCCCTGGGACCCCCCAAACCCCTCTGGGAGCCCCCCAAACCCAAATCACCTCCTGGGATCCCCCAAACCCTCTGGGACCCCCAAACCCAACTCACCTCCCTGGGACCCCCAAACCCCTCTGGGACCCCCAAACCCCTGTGGGACCCCCCAAACCCCAACTCACCTCCTGGGACCCCCAAACCCAACTCACCTCCCTGGGACCCCCAAACCCAATTCAACTCCCTGGGACCCCCAAACCCCTCTGGGACCCCCAAACCCCAACTCACCTCCCTTGGACCCCTCAAACCCCTCTGGGACCCCCAAACTCCTGTGGGACCCCCAAACCCAAACTCACCTCCCTTGGACCCTCAAACCCCTCTGGGACCCCCAAACCCCTCTGGGACCCCCAAACCCCAACTCACCCTCTGAGACCCCCCAAACGCCTCTGAGACTCCCCCAAACCCTTTACACCCCCCGGGACCCCTCAAACCTCATCCAAAGCCCTCCTGGACCCCTCCAAACCCCTTCCGCACCCCTCCGAAACCCCTCAAACCCCTCTTAGACCCCCCAAACCCCCCATTTCCCCCCTCCACTCCTCGGTCCCCTCAGGCCCCTCAGGCCGGGCCCGACTCACGCGCCTCCCCTCACCTCCCTCAGCACCTCCGGAACCCGCTCCCGGCCCTGTTCCAGACCCCGGGACCCCCCGGACACCCGGGACCCCCAGAGACCCCCTAAAACTCCCCAAACCCCCGGGACCCCAAAACGGCCCCGTTCCCGCTCACCTCAGGGAGCCGCCGGCACGGGCAGCGCGGGCCGCCGGGGGGCGCCAGAGAGCCGGGCGGGGAGGGGCGGGGTTATGCAAATGAGTCAAGAACGGGGCGTGGTTATTCAAATATGGCTCGGGGTAGGGCGTGGTTATGTAAATTAGACCCCGGAGGGGCGGGGCTATAGAACGGTACCAATTATGTGGGCTGAAAGATGGGCGGGGAATATGTAAATTAACGGGAAGGGGCGGGGCTAAGGATTGCCGGGTATTGATCGTTTGGGGCGGGGATATGTAAATTACGGTTATATGTGGGCGGAGCTATGCAAATTAAGATAAAAGAAGCGGGTGCTGTCCCCAAATTTCCCACACTATTCCCACCCACCCCCACTGTCCCCAAGTGTCCCCCGTTGTCCCCAAGTGTCCCCAAATGTCCCCTAGTGTCCCCAAGTGTCCCTGAATGTCCCTCATTGTCCCCAAGTGTCTGTAATGTCCCCCACTGTCCTCAAGTGTCCCCAAATGTCCCCAAGTGTCCCCAAATGTCTCCCGTTGTCCCCAAGTGTCCCCAAATGTCCCCCACTGTCCCCGAGTGTCCCCAAATGTCCCACACTGTCCCCAAGTGTCCCCAAATGTTGTCCCCAAGTGTCCCCCACTGTCTTCAAGTGTCCCCAAATGTCCCCAAGTGTCCCCCACTGTCTCCAAGTGTCCCCAAATATCCTCCATTGTCCCCAAGTGTCCCCCGTTGTCCCCAAATGTCCCCTAGTGTCCCCCACTGTCTCCAAGTGTCCCCAAGTTTCCCTAATGTCCCTAAGTGTCCCTAAATGTCCCCCATTGTCTCCAAGTGTTCGTAATGGCCCTCACTGTCCCCAAGTGTTCCCAGATGTCCCCACCCCTCCCCACTGTCCCCAAACGTCCCCAAGTGTCCCCAGGGCCACCTCCCCCCACCCCAGAAGTGATGCAAGACCACTCCCAACCTCCCCTAAGGCCTTTCCGGAGTGGGGACACGTTGTGACACTTCCTGTGGTGTCCCCACTCCCCAACCCCCTCCCGGTCCCCAAAATCTGCTGAGGCAGCAAAATCCTACCTAAAAACTCCCAAAACGGGAACCGGGGCCCAGTTCCGCCTTTATTGGGGGAGGGGGAGGGGACACCCTGAGGGGCTTGGGGTGACGGGGGGTCACCTGGGGGAAGGAATTTTGGGGGTGGGAGACACCCATTGTGGGGAGGGGGGACAGGGACCCCCAAATGAGGAGGAGGAGGGGGAGGATGAAGATGAATTCATGGGTCACACCCCCAAGTTCAGGTGAGACCCCCGGATGATGAGGATGATGATGAGGATGATGAGGATGATGATGAGGAGGATGAAGATGGTCCAGGGGTCACACCCCCACATTCAGGTGAGACCTCCATGATGATGATGAGGAGGAGGAGGAGGATGAAGATGATCCAGGGGTCACACCCTGGCACTCTGGTGGGACCCCCACAGTGACAATGACAACGACGATGACGATGATCATGACGACAACGATGACGGCCAACGCTCCCAACCAGCCCCTCCTTCACCCCCGTGCCCACGCTCTGATGGGACCCCCACAATGCCAATGGCCATTGACCACCTCCCCACACACAGCTGTGCCCCCTCCTCACATGGCAGTGCCCCCCCCTCACACAGCAGTGCCCCCCCTCACACGGCAGTGCCCACGCTCTGGTGGGACCCCCACAATGCCAATGGCCATTGCAGTGCCCCCCCCTCACACAGCAGTGCCCCCAGCAGTGCCCCCTCACACAGCGGTGCCCACGCTCTGGTGGGACCCCCACAATACCAATGGTCATTGACACCCCACCCCTCACAGAGCGGTGCCCCCTCACACAGCAGTGCCTCCCCTCACACAATGGTGCCCCCTCACACAGCAGTCCCCCTCACACAGCAGTGCCCCCTCACACAGCAGTGCCCCCTCACACAGCAGTGCCCCCTCACACAGCAGTGCCCCCCACTCACATGGCAGTGCCCCCTCACACGTTGGTGCCCCCCCTCACACGTCGGTGCCCACGCTCTGCTCCTCCACCGTGGTGGTGCCGCTCTTGCTCCTGCTGTTCCCGTCCCCCGTGGGGGTCTCATCCCCCAGCACGGCCCTGAGGACGCCCCTCCAGGAGCGGCGGGCGCGGCGGCGGAACCCCCTGCCCGCGGCGGCGTAGATGATGGGGTTGAGGCAGCTGTTGACGTAGGCCAGCCCCGCCACCAGCGGGTCCGCGTCCCTGGCCGCCTGGAAGGCCGCGCTGCCCGCCGGCGCCGCCGCCAGCACCAGGCCCAGCGCGTGGTAGGGCAGCCAGCAGGCGAAGAAGGCGCCCACCACCGCCAGCACCGTGGCCGTGGCGCGGCGAGGCCGCCGCGGGCCCCCCCGGGACCGCAGGCGCAGCAGGAGGCGGCCGTAGCAGGCCGAGATGACGACCAGGGGCCCGGCGAAGCCGCACAGCAGCCTTAGCACCGCCGTGCCCACCTCGGCCCGGCGCCCGTGGGGGCCCAGCCACGAGTAGTCCAGCACGCAGGTGGTCTTGGCCGAGAAGGGGTCGCGCCGGGCGGTCCTGAAGACGAAGGAGGGCAGCGTGAGCAGCGCGGCCGCCCCCCAGGCTCCGGCGCAGGCCCCCCGCGCCAGGGCGGGCGTGCGGTGGTTGTGGCACCACACGGGGTGAGTGACGAGGGCGCAGCGGTCGGCGCTGAGCGCCGTGAGCAGCAGCACGCTGGCGAACATGTTGAGCACGGTGAGCGACGGCAGCGCCCGGCAGCAGAACCCCCCCAGGGGCCAGTGGTGGTCGAGGGCCAGCGGCAGCGCCAGGAAGGGCAGGGCCAGGCAGCACAGCAGGTCGGCCAGCGCCAGGTTGAGGAACCAGACGCCGTTGACGGTGCGGCGCAGCTCCAGCGCCGTCACCCAGAGCACGGCGCCGTTGCCCAGCACGCCCAGCACGAAGATGAGGGCGTAGAGGGCCAGCACCAGGCGCAGCCCCAGCGGCACCGACGGCGCGTCCAGCTCGTAGATGGAGGAGTCGTCCCAGGAGGAGTTGTAGGAGTAGTCGGGAGGGGGGTCATGGCGGGTGGGGGAGTGGGAAGGAGATGGGGAGGGGTGAGGTGGGTCTGAGGGTGGGGGAGGGGGAGGGATGGCCCAGGGGAAGGAGAGATGAGATGGAGATGAGCCAACCCGAAAGTCACCCAATCTAACCCAACCCAACCAAACCCAACCCAAAACAACCCAACTAAACCCAACCCAACCCAAAACAACCCAACCAGACCCAATCTAACCCAACCCAACTAAACCCAACCCAACTCAACCCAAAACAACCAAATTAAACCCAACCAAACCCAACCCAACTAAACCCAACCCAACCAAACCCAATCCAAAACAACCCAAAACAACCAAACTAAACCCAACCCAACTCAAAACAACCCAACTAAACCCAACCCAACTAAACCCAATCCAAAACAACCCAAAACAACCAAACTAAACCCAACCCAAAACAACCCAAAACAACCAAACTAAACTCAACCAAACCCAACCCAATTAAACCCAACTCAACCAAACCCAACCCAACTAAACCCAACTAAACCAAACCCAACCCAACCCACCCAACCAAAACCAACCCAACCCAACCCAAAACAACCCAACCAAAACCAACACAACCAAACCCAACCCAACCCAAAACAACCCAACCAAACCCAACCCAACTCAACCAAACCCAACCCAAAACAACCCAAAACAACCCAACTAAACCCAACCCAAAACAACCAAACTAAACCCAACCAAACCCAACCCAACTCAACCAAACCCAACCCAAAACAACCCAAAACAACCCAACTAAACCCAACCAAACTCAACCCAAAACAACCCAACTAAACCCAACCCAACTCAACCCAAAACAACCCAAAACAACCAAACTAAACCCAACCCAACTAAACCCAACCCAACACAACCCAAAACAACCCAAAACAACCCAACCCAACTAAACCCAACCCAACACAACCCAAAACAACCAAACTAAACCCAACCCAACTAAACCCAACCCAACACAAAACAACCAAACTAAACCCACCAAACCCAATCCAATTAAACCCAACCCAACCAAACCCAACCCAACCCAAAACAACCCAACTAAACCCAACCCAACTAAACCCAATCCAACCCAACTAAACCAAACCCAACCCAAAACAACCCAACTAAACCAAATCCAACCAAACCCAACCCAAAACAACCCAACTAAACCCAACCCAACCAAACCCAACGAACAACAACCAACTAACCCAACCAAACAACTCAACCCAACCCAACCCAAAACAACCCAACCAAACCCAACCCAACCAAACCTAACCCAATCCAACCCAACCAAACCCAACCCAACCCAAAACAACCCAACCAAACCCAACCCAACCCAAAACAACTCAACCAAACCCAACCCAACCCAACCCAACCCAACCCAAGGATGACCCAACCCAACCCTTCCACCTTGGCCAAGGTCACCTCCCACCACACCAGCTGATCAAGGGTTTTTTGGGGGGGTTTCCAGCCCCATTTTGGGGGTGTCCATTCTCCTGGGAGGACATTTTGGGACCCCCTCCCAGCCCAGCCCAGTTTGGGGGGAGTCTCCAGCCACATTTTAGGGGTCTCTGGCCCCGTTTTGGGGGCGTCTGTCCTCATTTTAGGGGTCTCCATCCCCATTTTGGGAGTGTCCATCCTCATTTTAGGGGTCTCCAGCCTCATTTTGGGGGTGTCCATCCTCATTTTAGGGGTCTCCAGCCCCATTTTGGGGATGTCCATCCTCATTTTAGGGATCTCCAGCCCCATTTTGGGGGTCTCCACCTTCCTGGGAGGATATTTTGGGACCCCTCCCAGGCAGCCCCATTTTGAGGTCCCCACCCTCATTTTGGGGTCTCCAGCCCCATTTTAGGTCTCCAGCTGCATTTTAGGGGTCTCCAGTCCCATTTTAGGGGTCTCCAGCCCAATTTTTGGGGCTCCAGGCCCAATTTTTGGGGTCTCCAGCCCCATTTGAAGGGTCTCCAGCCCCATTTTAGGGGTCTCCAGCCCAATTTTGGGGTCTCCAGCCCCATTTTAGGGGTCTCCAGCCCAATTTTTGGGTCTCCAGCCCCATTTTGGGGTTGTCCCAGTCCCCCCCCTCCCTCAGACACTCCGGAAAAGGCATTTCCCAACTTCCCTCCCCTCCCTCCCTCCTCGTTTTGCAAGAATTTGGGAGGGGAAATTCCCGGGGGGGGGCCCAGCCCGGGCAGCCCCTCCCCCCCCGCAGGGTGGAGCCCCCCAAAATGGGGTTGGGGACCCCCAAAACGGGGCTGGGGACCCCCAAAATTGAGTTGGAGACTCCTAAAATGAGGGTGGAGACCCCTAAAATGTGCCTGGACACCCCCAAAATGAGGATGGGGACCTCAAAAGGGAGGTCGAGCCCCCCTAAAATGGGGCTGGGGACCCTAAAATGGGGTTGGGGACCCCCAAAATGGGGCTGGGGACCCCCAAAATTGAGCCGGAGACTCCTAAAATGAGGGTGGAGACCCCTAAAATGTGCCTGGACACCCCCAAAATGAGGATGGGGACCTCAAAATGGGGCTGGGGACCCCCAAAAGGGAGGTGGAGCCCCCCAAAATGGGGCTGGGGACCCTAAAATGGGGCTGGGGACCCCAAAATGGGGCTGGGGACCTCCAAAAGGGAGGTGGAGACCCCCAAAATGGGGCTGGGATGGGAGAGGGTCCTAAAACAACCCCCCAGGAGGACGAAGCCCCCCTCAAAAACCGACCTGAAGACCCCAAAAAAGAGTCGGGAGACCCCCCCAAACTGGGCTGGACTGGGGAGGGGTCCCAACAACCCCCCCAAGGAGGACGAAGCCCCCCCAAAATGGGGCTGGAGACCCCCAAAAATCCATCTGGAAGGAGGGGGGGGAATCCTCCCTGACCCACCCCTCCAAAAAACTGACTTGGAGACCCCAAAAAAGGATCTGGAGACCCCAAAAAACTCGTCAGGACCAGGAGGGGGGTCCCAAAAAACCCCCCCGGGAGGACAAAGACCCCCAAAACGGGGCTGGAGACCCCCAAAACTGGTCTAGACTGGGAGGGGGGTCCCAAAAAACCCCCCCCAGGAGGACAAAGACCCCCAAAACGGGGCTGGAGACCCCCAAAACTGGTCTAGACTGGGAGGGGGGTCCCAAACCCCTCCCCGGGAGGACGAAGCCCCCCCAAAACCGACCCAAAAAAGGGTCTGGAGACCCCCAAAATCTGCCTGGAAGAGGGGGGGGATTATCCCGGACCCCCCCCCTCAAAGAGACGAAGCCCCCCCCCCAAAACCGACCTGAAGACCCCAAAAAGGGTCTGGAGACCCCAAAATCTGCCTGAAGAGGGGGATTATCCCCCCCAAAGAGACGAAGCCCCCCCAAAAACCGACCTGAAGACCCCAAAAGGGTCTGGAGACCCCCAAAATCCCTCTGGAAGGGGGGACCACCCGGACCCCCAAAGACAAAGCCCTCGAAACTGCCCCTCCCCCCCACCTGCTCCTGCCGTGGCCGCTCCGGGGACAGGCGGGACCCCCTTTATTTTGGGGGTTTTGGAGTGGACCCCCCTTTATCCAGGGGAGGGAGGGAAGAGGAACCCCGGGAGAGGAAGAGCCAAAAAGCCAAAAAGGGTCAAAAAGGGAGGGTAGGGGATGGGGAAGTTCCAAATATGGGATTTTTTGGGAGGGGGAATAAGGGCAAAATTGGGTTTTTATGGGGAAAATAGCGTTGAAATTGGGGGTTTTTTTGGGGGAGCCAAATTTGGGGTTTTTGAGAGAGGAAAAAGTCCCAAAATTTGATTTTTTTTTTTTGAGGAGGGAAAAAGCGTCAAAATTGGGATTTTTTTTTTTTTTTTTTTGGGAAGCCAAATTGGGATTTTTGTGGGGAAAAAGCCAAAATTGGGATTTTTTATTTTTTGGGGGAAGAGGAAGCCAAAATTGGAATTTTTTTTTATTTTTTTGTGGGGGAAGCCAAAATTGGGATTTTGGTGGGAAGAAAAAGCCAAAATTGGGATTTTTTTTTTTTTTGGGGTGGGGAAGCCAAAATTGGGATTTTTGGGAAGAGAAAAGCCAAAATTGAGATTTTTTTCCTTTTTTTTTGTGGGGGAAGCCAAAATTGGGATTTTTGTGGGAAGGAAAAAGCCAAAATTGGGATTTTTTTTTCCTGGTGGAAGCCAAATTGGGATTTTGTGGGAAAAAAAGCGCCAAAATAGGACACCACCCCTCCCCAAAATCCAAGGACGAGGCGTGGAGACGCTTTTGGAGCTTTATTTGGCAAATTTGGGGGAACTCAAATGCATCCCTCGGGACCCCCAAGGTCGGACCCTCTCGGGGGGCCTCAGGGGGTTGGGACCCCGGGAGGGAATTTGGGACACCCTCCCCACCCCAGGCCGGACCCTCCCGGGGGCTTTTTTGGAGGGGAGAGGGATTTTGGGGGTGGGGTGTCACAGTTGGGGGGGGGTCGCTGGATCGTCCTGTGGGGAGAGAGGAAAAAAAAGGGGTGGGGGCGTGAGGGGACCCCCAAAATTCCATGGAAAGAGGTCCCCCAAATTCATGGGAAAGGGATCCCCCAAAAAATTCCATGGGAAAGGGCATCCCCCAAAATTCCATGGGAAAGGGGATCCCCAAAATTCCATGGGAAAGGGGCATCCCCCCCCCCAAAATTCCATGGGAAAGGGGATCCCCAAAATTCCATGGGAAAGGGGCATCCCCAAAATTCCATGGGAAAGGGGATCCCAAAATTCCATGGGAAAGGCATCCCCCAAAATTCCATGGGAAAGGGGATCCCCCCAAAATTCCATGGGAAAGGGGCATCCCCCCCCCCAAAATTCCATGGGAAAGGGGGATCCCCCCAAAATTCCATGGGAAAGGGGCATCCCCCCCCCCAAAATTCCATGGGAGAGGATCCCCAAAATTCCATGGGAAAGGGCATCCCCCAAAATTCCATGGGAAAGGGGATCCCCGCCCCCCCCAAAATCCACGGCCTCCCCAGGTAGGGGTGGGGTCCCCAGGTGGGTCTGGGGGAGGTCTCCCGGGTGCCCCCCAGGTGAGTTTGGGACCCCCAGGTGAGTTTGGGACCCCCAGGTGAGTTCAGGGACCCCAAAGTGCCCCCTAGGTGGGCACAGGAACCCCAGGTGAGTTTGGGACCCCCAAGGTGAGCTCAGGACCCCCAGGTGAGTTTGGGACCCCCCAGGTGAGTTCAGGACCCTCCAGGTGCCCCCCAGGTGAGTTTGGGGACCCCCAAGGTGAGCTCAGGACCCCCAAGTGAGTTTGGGGACCCCCAAGGTGAGCTCAGGACCCCAGGTGAGTTTGGGATCCCAAGGTGAGCTCAGGACCCCCAGGTGAGTTTGGGGACCCCCCCAAGGTGAGCTCAGGACCCCCCAGGTGAGTTTGGGACCCCCAGGTGAGCTCGGGACCCCCCAGGTGAGTTTGGGGACCCCCCAGGTGAGCTCAGGACCCTCCAGGTGCCCCCCCAGGTGAGTTTGAGGACCCCCCAAGGTGAGCTCAGGGACCCCCCAGGTGAGTTGTGGAACCCCCAGATGAGTTCAGGGACCCCAAAAGTGCCCCCCTAGGCGGGCACAGGAACCCCCCAGGTGAGTTTGGGACCCCCCCAGGTGGGCACAGGACCCTCCAGGTGAGCTCAGGACCCCCCAGGTGAGTTTGGGGACCCCCCAAGGTGAGCTCAGGACCCCCCAGGTGAGTTCAGGACCCTCCAGGTGCCCCCCAGGTAAGTTTGGGGACCCCCCCGGTTGGGTTCAGGACCCTCCAGGTGAGTTTGGACTCCCCCAGGTGGGCACAGAACCCTCCAGGTGCCCCCCCAGGTGAGTTTGGGACCCCCAAGGTGAGCTCAGGACCCTCCAGGTGAGTTCAGGGACCCCCAAAACCAATCCCGGGGTCCGTCGGGAGCGGGAAGAGTTTAATGCAGGTACAGCCAAAGCCCCCCCTGCGAAGCAGCAGCGCCCAGGTGTGCCCAGGTGAGCCCAGGTGAGTGCCAAGTGTGCCCAGGTGTGCCAAGGTGAGTCATTCCAGCAGCTCCGAGCAGTGACACCCCAAAGACCCCAAAAGCCCCTCAGAGCCCCCCTGGAGTGAAGCAGCAGCCCCCAGGTGTGCCCAGGTGAGTGCCAGGTGTGCCCAGGTGTGCCCAGGTGAGTCATTCCAGCAGCTCCGAGCAGCGACAGCCCCCCAAAGACCCCCAAAATGCCCTCAGAGCCCCTCAGAGCCCCCCGAGTGAAGCAGCAGCCCCCAGGTGTGCCCAGGTGTGCCCAGGTGTGCCCAGGTGAGTCATTCCAGCAGCTCCGAGCAGTGACAGCCCCAAAGACCCCCAGAATGCCTCCAAAAGCCCTCAGAGCCCCCTGGAGTGAAGCAGCAGCCCCAGGTGTGCCCAGGTGAGTGCCAGGTGTGCCCAGGTGAGTGCCAGGTGAGCCCAGGTGTGCCAAGGTGAGTCATTCCAGCAGCTCCGAGCAGCGACAGCCCCCCAAAGACCCCCCAGAATGCCCCCAGGTGTGCCCAGGTGTGCCAAGGTGAGTCATTCTAGCAGCTCCGAGCAGCGACAGCCCCCCAAAGACCCCCCAAAATGCCCCCATAAAGCCCTCAGAGCCCCCATTGGAGTGAAGCAGCAGCCCCCAGGTGTGCCCAGGTGAGTGCCAGGTGTGCCCAGGTGAGTGCCAGGTGTGCCCAGGTGTGCCCAGGTGAGTCATTCCAGCAGCTCCGAGCAGCGACAGCCCCCAAAGACCCCCCAAAATGCCCCCAAAAAGCCCTCAGAGCCCCCTGGAGTGAAGCAGCAGCCCCCAGGTGTGCCCAGGTGAGTGCCAGGTGTGCCCAGGTGAGTGCCAGGTGTGCCAAGGTGAGCTCAGGTGAGTCATTCTAGCAGCTCTGAGCAGAGACAGCCCCCCAAAGACCCCCAAAATGCCCCAAAGCCCTCAGAGTCCCCTGGAGTGAAGCAGCAGCCCCCAGGTGTGCCCAGGTGAGCCCAGGTGAGTCATTCCAGCAGCTCTGAGCAGAGACAGCCCCCCAAAGACCCCCCCCAAATGCCCCCAAAAGCCCCTCAGAGCCCCCAAAGCCCCCAGGTGAGCTCAGGTGCCCCCAGGTGAGTCATTTCAGCAGCTCCAGCAGCGACAGCCCCCAAAAGCCCCCAAAATGCCCCCAAAAGCCCCCAGGTGAGCTCAGGTGCCCCCAGGTGAGTCATTTCAGCAGCTCCAGCAGCGACAGCCCCCAAAAGCCCCCAAAATGCCCCCAAAGCCCCCCCAGGTGAGCCCAGGTGAGTCATTCCGGCAGCTCCAAGCAGCAACAGCCCCCAAAATGCCCCCCAAAGCCCCTCAGAGCCCCCAAAGCCCCCCAGGTGAGCCCAGGTGAGTCATTTCAGCAGCTCCGAGCAGTGACAGCTCCCAAAGACTCCCCAAAGACCCCCAAAATGCCCTCAAAGCCCCCAGGTGAGCCGGGGAGCAGAAGGACGGACAGACACACACACGGTTTTGGGGGCCCAGGGGGCTTTTGGGGTTCCTTGGGGGTCACAGGGGGGTCCCTGGGGAGGTTTTGGGGTCCCTGGGGACGTTTTGGGGTCCTGGGGGGGTCATAGGGGGAGATTTGGGGGTTCCTTGGGGGTCACAGAGGGTCCTGAGGGGGTTCAGGGGTCCCTGGGGGTTGGGGTTCCTGGGGAAGCTTTGGGGTCCTGGGGGGTGCCTGGGGGTTTTGGGGTCCCTGGGAAAGTTTTGGGGTCCGGGGGTCCCTGGGGGAGATTTGGGGTCCCAGGAGGTCTCAGGGGGTTTTGGGGTCCCTGGGGAAGTTTTGGGGTCCTGAGTGGTGACAGGGGAGATTTGGGGTCCTAGGAGGGTCCCAGGGGTTTGGGGTCCCAGGGGGGTCTCAGGGGGTTATGGGGTCCTGGGGAAGTTTTGGGGTCCTGAGTGGTGACAGGGGAGATTTGGGGTCCCAGAGGGGTCTCGGGGGTTTTGGGGTGCTGGGGGTCTCAGGAAGGTTTTGGGGTCCCAGGGGAGGTTTTGGGGTCCCAGGGGGTTTTGGGGTCTCAGGGGGTTTTGGGGTCCTGGGGGTTTTGGGGTCCCGGGGGTCAGAGGGGCTCTGGGGGTCCCGGGGGTCAGAGGGGCTCCGTGGGGGTCTAGAGGGTGTTTTGGGGGTTTGGGGTGTTTGGGGGTTCCGGGGTTTTTGGGGTCCTGGGGGCTCGGGGGTCTCAGGGGGTTTTGGGGTCCCAGGGGTCAGAGGGTCTCGGGGGTCTGGGGTGTTTTGGGGGTGTTTTGGGGGTCTGGGGGTCCTGGGGGTCAGAGGGCTCCGTGGGGGTCAGAGGGGCTCTGGGGGGTCTGGGGGTCCCAGGGGTCAGAGGGGCTCCGTGGGGGTTTTGGGGTCCTGGGGGTCTGGGGGTTTTGGGGTGTTTTGGGGGGTCCTGGGGGTCAGAGGGGCTCTGGGGGTCTGGGGTGTTTTGGGGGGTCTCAGGAGGGTTTTGGGGTCCCAGGGGCTCTCAGGGGGTTTTGGGGTCTGGGGGTCCCGGGGGTCAGAGGGGCTCCGTGGGGGGTCTGGGGGTTTTGGGGAGTTTGGGGGGTCTCGGGGTGTTTGGGGTCCCGGGGGTCAGAGGGGCTCCGGGGGGTCAGAGGCTCCGTGGGGGTCTCGTTCTTACGGAAACGCACCCGCTGGAAATCCGTGATTTCCACCCCCGACACACCTGGGGGGGGGAGGGGACACTCAGGGCCTCCCAGTAACCACCAGTACCCTCCCAGTAACCCCTAGTAACTCCCAGTAACCCCCCAGTGCCATCCCAGTAAGCCCCAGTGCCCTCCCAGTAACTCCCAGTAACCCCCCAGTACCCTCCCAGTAACCAGCAGTACCCTCCCAGTAACCCCAGTAACACCCAGTATCCTCCCAATAATTCCCAGTGCTCTCCCAGTAATCCCCAGTAACTCCCAGTACCCTCCTAGTAACTCCCAGTGCCATCCCAGTAACTCCCAGTGCCCTCCCAGTCCCCTCCCAGTCCCCCAATCCCTCCCAGTTCCTCCCAGTCCTCCCAGTCCCTCCCAGTGCCCCTAGTCCCTCCCAGTGCCCCCAGTCCCTCCCAGTGCCCCCAGTACCTCGGGTGGGTCCCAGTGGCCTCGGGCTCCGGTTCCGTCCCAGTTTGGGGCTCGCCCCCTCGCACTGGGGGGACTGGGAGACCCCCCATGGCCGGGGGGTCGGGGGCCAGGGGGTCAGTCCTGGGGAGACAAACCAGTCAGAGCAACTGGGAGCACTGGGAGGGCACTGGGAGCTACTGGGACACACTGGGGGGCACTGGGATGAACTGGGAGTTACTGGGATGCACTGGGGGTTACTGGGATGCACTGGGGGGGTCACTGGGAGTTACTGGGATGCACCGGGGGTGTCACTGGGAGTTACTGGGAGCTACTGGGACGCACTGGGGGGTGTTACTGGGAGCTACTGGGACGCACTGGGGGGGTCACTGGGAGTCACTGGGAGCTACTGGGACGCACTGGGGAGTTACTGGGGTTACTGGGAGTTACTGGGATGCAGTGGGAGCTACTGGGACGCACTGGGGGGGTTACTGGGAGCTACTGGGACGCACTGAGGGGGTCACTGGGAGTTACTGGGAGCTACTGGGACACACTGGGAGTTACTGGGACGCACTGGGGGGTTACTGGGACACACTGGGTGTTACTGGGAGCTACTGGGATGCACTAGGGGGGTCACTGGGAGCTACTGGGATGCACTGGGGGGGTCACTGGGAGTTACTGGGACGCACTAGGGGGGTCACTGGGGGTTACTGGGAGCTACTGGGAGCTACTGGGAGCTACTGGGACACACTGGGGGGGTCACTGGGAGTTACTGGGACGCACTGGGGGTCACTGGGGTTACTGGGACACTGGGGTCACTGGGGAGATGCACTGGGGTCACTGGGAGTTACTGGGACGCACTGGGAGGTCACTGGGGGTTACTGGGACGCACTGGGGGGGTCACTGGGGGTTACTGGGATGCACTGGGGGGGTCACTGGGGGTTACTGGGAGTTACTGGGATGCACTGGGAGTTACTGGGACGCACTGGGGGTTACTGGGAGTTACTGGGAGCACTGGGGGTCACTGGGGTTACTGGGAGTTACTGGGACGTCACTGGGGGTTACTGGGAGTTACTGGGACGCACTGGGGGTCACTGGGGTTACTGGGGGTTACTGGGATGCACTGGGGGGTCACTGGGAGTTACTGGGAGTTACTGGGACGCACTGGGGGGGTCACTGGGAGTTACTGGGTGTTACTGGGAGCTACTGGGACGCACTGGGGGGGTTACTGGGACACACTGGGGGTTACTGGGAGCTACTGGGGCGCACTGGGGGTCACTGGGAGTTACTGGGATGCACTAGAGGGGTCACTGGGAGTTACTGGGACGCACTGGGGGTCACTGGGGGTTACTGGGAGTCATACTGGGACGTCACTGGGGGTTACTGGGAGTTACTGGGACGCACTGGGGGGGTCACTGGGAGTTACTGGGGGTTAATGGGACGCACTGGGGGTCACTGGGGGTTACTGGGAGTTACTGGGTCGCACTCGGGGGGTCACTGGGGGTTACTGGGAGCTACTGGGACGCACTGGGGGTCACTGGGGTTACTGGGACGCACTGGGGGTCACTGGGGTTACTGGGAGCTACTGGGACGCACTGGGGGTCACTGGGAGTTACTGGGAGTTACTGGGAGCACTGGGGGTCACTGGGGTTACTGGGAGTTACTGGGACGCACTGGGGTTACTGGGAGCTACTGGGATGCACTGGGGGGGTCACTGGGAGTTACTGGGGGTCACTGGGAGTTACTGGGACGCACTGGGGGTCACTGGGAGTTACTGGGAGCTACTGGGAGTCACTGGGGTCACTGGGAGTTACTGGGGTTACTGGGACGCACTGGGGAGTCACTGGGGGTTACTGGGAGCTACTGGATGCACTGGGGGTTACTGGGAGTTACTGGGATGCACTGGGGGTCACTGGGAGTTACTGGGATGCACTGGGGGTTACTGTGATGCACTGGGGGTCACTGGGGGTTACTGGGGTTACTGGGAGTTACTGGGGGTTACTGGGACACACTGGGGGTCACTGGGAGCTACTGGGACGCACTGGGGGTCACTGGGGTTACTGGGAGTTACTGGGACGCACTGGGGGTCACTGGGGTTACTGGGAGTTACTGGGAGTCACTGGGACGCACTGGGGGTCACTGGGAGTTACTGGGAGTCACTGGGGGTTACTGGGAGTTACTGGGACGCACTGGGGGGGTCACTGGGATGCACTGGGAGTTACTGGGACGCACTGGGGGGGTCACTGGGGGTCACTGGGAGCTACTGGGACGCACTGGGGGTTACTGGGATGCACTGGGGGGGTTACTGGGAGTTACTGGGAGCTACTGGGATGCACTGGGGGGGTCACTGGGGTTACTGGGGTCACTGGGACGTCACTGGGGGGGTCACTGGGAGTTACTGGGACGCACTGGGGGGGTCACTGGGAGTTACTGGGAGTTACTGGGATGCACTGGGAGTTACTGGGACGCACTGGGGGGGTCACTGGGAGTTACTGGGAGTTACTGGGATGCACTGGGAGTTACTGGGACGCACTGGGTGGGTTACTGGGGGGGTCACTGGGAGTTACTGGGAGCTACTGGGACGCACTGGGGGGGTCACTGGGGGTTACTGGGACATACTGGGATGCAGTGGGAGCTACTGGGACGCACTGGGGGGGTTACTGGGAGTTACTGGGACGCACTGGGGGTCTCTCCAGGCTCCTCCTCCTCGTCCTCGTCCAGGTCCTCCCACTGATCCTCGTCCTCCTCCGCGCTCTGGGAATGCCGGGGGGGCTTTTCCAGGGGCTTTTCCAGGGGGTTTTCCAGGGCCTGGGAATTCCAGGGGGGGTCAGGGAGGGGTTTGGGGGGTCCCCAAAATCCCCCAAAACCCCCCCAAAATAAAAAGGGGTCACCTGGGGGGTCTGGGGGTCCTCGGGGGGCTCCGGCTCTGGCTCCCAGCGGTCGTCGTGCATCCTGGGAAGGGGGGAATCCCGGGAAAACGGGGGGGGATCCGTGGGAATGGAGACCAAAAATCCTCGGGAATGGGGCCCAAAATTCATCAAGAATGGGGCCCAAAAATCCATGGGAATGGGGCCCAAAAATCCTTGGGAATGGGGCCCAAAAATCCTCGGGAATGGGGCCCAAAATTCATCAAGAATGGGGCCCAAAAATCCACGGGAATGGGGCCCAAAAATCCTCGGGAATGGGGCCCAAAAATCCTTGGGAATGAGGCCCAAAATCCTTGGGAATGGGGCCCAAAATCCTTGGGAAAGGGGTACCAAAATCATCGGGAATGGGGTACTGAAATCCATGGGAATGGAGCCCCAAAATCCTCGGGAAAGGAGCCCCAAATATCCATGGGAATAGGATACCAAAATCCTCGGGAAAAGGGTTCCAAAATCCTTGGGAAAGGGGCCCCAAAATCCATGGGAAAGGGGCACAAAAATTCATGGGAAAGGGACCCAAAATCCTCGGGAAAGGGACCCAAAAATCCCCCCAAATTCCCCCCAAACCCACACAGAACCCCCAAATCCCCTTAAGACCCCCCAGAGCCTTCCCCAACCCTCCCCAGGACCCCCAAAATCCCTCTCCAACACCCCCCTCCAACCCCCCAAATCCCCAGACCCCAGACCCCCAAACCTCCGACTCCAGGACTCCCCAGACTCCCCCAAAATCCCTCCAGGACTTACCCCAAATCCCCCAGGACCCCCCAGAACCCCCAAAATCCCCCAGGACCCCCAAAATCCTCTCCAAGACTTCCCCAAATTCCCCCAGGACCCCCAGACCCTCCCAAAATCCCCCAGGATCCCCAGACCTCCCCAAAATCCCCCAGGACTCCCCCAGACCTTCCCAAAATCCCCCAGGACCCCCAGACCTCCCAAAATCCCCTCAGGACCCCCCCCAAAATCCCCCCAGACCCCCCAAAATCCCCCCAGGACCCCCCAGACCCCCCAAAATCTCCCAGCACCTCTCCCCAGGACCCTCCAAAATCCCCCCCAGGACTCCCCAGATCCCCCCAAAACTCCCCCCAGGACCCCCCAGACCTTCCCAAAATCCCCTCAGGACCCCCCAGACCCTCCCAAAATCCCTCCAGGACTTCCCCAAATCCCCCAGGACCCCCCCAGGACCCCCCAAATCCCCTCAGGACCCCCCAGACCCCCAAAATCCCCTCCAGCCCCACCTGTAGGGTCTCCCCCTTCCCCGGCCCCTCCTGGCGCTGGGGTGAGGGGGCAGGAATCCCCAAAGTTGGGGTTTTGGGGGCGTTTGAGGTCCTCTCCCCCCTCCGGCACCTCCGGGACCCCCGAGAACCTGAAAGGGTGGGAGGAAAAAGGTCAGTTCAGAGACCCCAAAATCACCAAAAACCTCCCAAAACCCAGCTGGGACCCCCAAAATCAGCCAGGACCCCAAACCCACACCAGGATCCCCAAATCACACCCAGGGACACCCAAAACCCACCTGGGACCCCCAAAATACCCCAGCAAAGCGCTCAGGAGACCCCAAATCCCCCCAAATTCCCCTCAAGGAGCCCTAAATCCCCTCAAAAGGACACAGGTGACCCCAAATCCCTCCTAAATCCCTCAGGTGACCCCAAATCCCCCCCAAATTCCCCCCTAAATCCCTCAGGTGACCCCAAATTCCCCTCAAAGCGCTCAGGTGACCCCAAATCCTCCCCAGATGGACACAGGTGACTTGAAATCCCCCCTAAATCCCCCCTAAACCACCCCTAAATTCCCCCTAAATCACTCAGGTGACCCCAAATGCCCCCCAAAGGACAGAGGTGACCCCCAGCCCCACATTTCCTGGTGGTTTCTGGGTGTCCCACTCCCTCCTCCAGGCCCCGGTGGGGTCATGGTGCTGCTCCTGAGACCCCCAAATTGCCCCTAAATCCCCCTCAAACCACCCCAAATCCCCCCTAATCCCCCCCAAACCACCCCAAATGTCCCCTAAAGGACACAACTGACCCCAAATACCCCCAATCCCCCAGCCCCACATTTCCTGGGGTTTCTGGGCCCCACTCCTCCTCCAGGCCCCGTGGGGTCTGTGGTGCCACTCCTGGGACCCCAAATCTCCCCTTAAAGGGCTAAGGTGACCCCAAATCCTCCCTAACCCCCCAAATCCTCTGGAGCCCCCCCATCCCCCCAGCCCCACATTTCCTGGGTTTCTGGGCGTCCCACTCCTCCAGGCCCTGGCGGGGTCATGGTGCCGCTCCTGGGACCCCAAACCCCCTAAATCCCCCCAAATCCCCCTCAAACCACCCTCAAATCCTCCTAGAGGCCTCAAGTGACCCCAAATTCCCTAACCCCCTCAAATCTCTCATGTGAGCCCCCAGTCCCCTCCAGCCCCACATTTCCTGGGGTTTCTGGGTGTCCCACTCCCTCCTCCAGGTCCCGCTGGGGTCGCGGTGCCGCTCCTGGGACCCCCAAATCCCCCCTTAAAGACCCCAAATCCCCTCCCAAACCACCCCAAATCCTTCAGTTGATCCCAAAATTCCCCCAAATCCCTCTGGAGCCCCCCAGTCCCCCCCAGCCCCACATTTCTTGGGGTTTCTGGGTGTCCCACTCCCTCCTCCAGGCCCCGGGGGGGTCTCGGTGCCGCTCCTGGGACCCCCAAATCCCCTAAATCCCCTCAAACTACCCCCAAATCCCCCTAATCCCCCAAACCACCCCAAATGTCCCCTAAAGGACATCAAGTGACCCCAAATCCCCCAAATCCCCCCCAGCCCCACATTTCCTGGGGTTTCTGGGCGTCCCACTCCCTCCTCCAGGCCCTCCCGGGGTCGCGGTGCCGCTCCTGGGACTCCCAAATCCCCTTAAAGGGCACAGGTGACCCCAAATCCCCCTAACCCCCTCAAATCCCCCAGACCCCCCCCAGCCCCACATTTCCTGGGGTTTCTGGGTGTCCCACTCCTCCTCCAGGCCCCGGGGGTCGCGGTGCCGCTCCTGGGACCCCCCAAATCCCCCTCAAACCACCCCAAATCTGCTCCTCAAACCACCCTCAAATCCTCTCAGTTGACCCCAAATCCTCTGGAGCCCCCCCCAAATCCCCCAGCCCCACATTTCCTGGGGTTTCTGGGCATCCCACTCCCTCCTCCAGGCCCCAGTGGGGTCACGGTGCCGCTCCTGGGACCCCCAAATCCCCCCTTAAAGACCCCAAATCCCCCCCAAACCATTCAGGTGACCCCCCAGACCCACATTTCCTGGGGTTTCTGGGCGTCCCACTCCCTCCTCCAGGCCCCCCAGGGTCTCGGTGCCTCTCGAGGCGCTCGCGGTCGATTCGTTCCCGTTCCCGTTTCCAGCGCTCGTACTCGGCGCGTTCCCGGCCCGTCATCCACAGCGTGGGGTCCAGGGGGGGCCCCCCACCACCCTTGGGGCTCCTGTGACGACCCTGGAGGGGGACAACGAGGTGGGGAATGCCCTGAAATTCCATCCCCAAAAAAAAAACCCAAAAAAACCCTCAAAAATCGACCCAAAAAATCACTTGGGATGTGTCAGTGTCGATGGGAAAGCCACAGAGGAAGCCACAGATCAATCAAAAACCCAACCCAAGAGCCCAAAAAACCCAGCCACAAATCCAAAAAACCCTCCCAGGAACTCAAAAATCAGCAATAAACCCACCCAGGAACCCAAAAATCCCTCCCAGGAACCCAAAAAACCCACCCAGGAACCCAAAAATCAATCAAAAACCCACCCAGGAATGCCCAAATCAATCAAAAACTCATCCAGGAACCCAAACAACCCTCCCAGGAATACAAAAAGCCCTCTCAGTAACCCAAAAATCAACCAAGAACCTGCTCAGGAACCCCCAAATCAATCAAAAAGCCACCCAGGAACCCAAAAATCAACAATAAACCCACCCAGGAACCCAAAAACGCCACCCAGGAACTCAAAAAACCCACCCAGGAACACCCAAATCAATCAAAACCTCACCCAGGAACCCAAAAAACCCACCCAGGATCCCCCAAAATCCCCCCCTCCCCACCCCCAGAATTTGGGAAGCGTTTTGGGGGGATTTTGGGAATAATTTGGGGGGATTTGGGGGATATTTTGGGGCTATTTTGAGAGTATTTGGGGGATTTTTGAGGGATATTTGGGTGATAATTTGGGGATATTTTGGGTGGTAATTTGGGGATGTTTTGGGGATATTTCAGGGATACTTTAGGGGTATTTTGGGGATGTTTTGGGGGGTATTTGAGGGATATTTGGGTGGTAATTTGGGGATATTTGGGTGATAATTTGGGGATATTTCAGGGACGTTTTGGGGATGCTTTGGGGGTATTTTGGGGATATTTTTGGGGTATTTTGGGTGATATTTTGGGTGATATTTCAGGGATATTTTGGGGGTATTTTGGGGGTGTTTTGGAGATGTTTTAGGTGATAATTTGGGGATATTCCAGAGATACTTTGGGGGTGTTTTGGGGATGTTTTGGGTGATAATTTGGGGATATTTTGGGGATTATTTCAGGGATATTTTGGGGACATTTTAGGGATGTTTCAGGGGATATTTCGGGGATATTTTGGGGATATTCTGGGGATATTTTGGGGGTATTTTGGAGATGTTTTGGGTGGTAACTTGGGGATATTTCAGGGATATTTTGGGGATATTTCAGGGATATTTTGGGGGTATTTTGGGGGTGTTTTGGGGATGTTTTGGGTGATAATTTGGGGATATTTTGGGGATATTCCAGGGATATTTTGGGGGTGTTTTGGAGATGTTTTAGGTGACATTTTGGGGATATTTCAGGGATATTTTGGGTGATATTTTGGGGATGTTTTGGGGATATTTTTTTATATTTGGGGGATACTTTTGAGTGAATTTTGGGGCTGTTTTGGGGGTATTTTGGGGATATTTTTGGGACGTTTTGGGTGAAATTTTGGGGATATCCCAGGGATGTTTTGGGGGTATTTTAGGGATGTTTTGGGGGGTATTTGGGGTATATTTGGGTGGTAATTTGGGGATGTTTTGGGGATATTTCAGGGATATTTTGGGGGTATTTCGGGGGTGTTTTGGAGATGTTTTGGGTGGTAATTTGGGGATATTTTTGGGATATTTTGGGGATATTTCAGGGATATTTTGGGGGTATTTGGGGGATATTTGGGTGGTATTTGGGGTATATTTGGGTGGTAATTTGGGGATATTTTGGGGATATTCCAGGGATATTTTGGGGGTATTTTGGGGCTGTTTTGGGTGGTAATTTGGGGACTATTTTGGGGATATTTCAGGGATATTTTGGGGATATTTTGGGGACATTTTGGGGATATTCCAGGGATATTTTTGGGATATTTTGGGGGTATTTTGGGGTTGTTTTGGGGATATTTTGGGGGTATTTGGGGGCTGTTTTGGGGTCCGTTACCCACCCCCGCCGTGACCTTTCCGAAGTCGGGTCCCCCCCAGTTCCGGGTGTGTCTCCGGGGGGTCCCCCCGGGCCCCTCCCCCCCCAGGGCGGGGCCGCAGCGTCGGGGGTCGTCCAGGAAATTCCGAACTGGGTTCTTCTCAGGGACCCCCTCCTGGGGAAACACCACACTGGGAACACTGGGGGCACTGGGAGGGACTGGGGAGGGACTGGGGGGCACTGGGAGGGATGGGGGTCGGTCAGGAAATTCCGAACGGGATTCTTCTCAGGGACCCCCTCCTGGGGAAACACCACACTGGGAACACTGGGAGGGCACTGGGAGGGACTGGGAGGGCACTGGGGGGCACTGGGAGGGACTGGGAGGGACTGGGAGGGACTGGGAGGGATTGGGGGCACTGGGAGGGACTGGGAGGGACTGGGAGGGACTGGGAGGACTGGGAGGGGATCGGGGTCGTCCAGGAAATTCCGAACTGGATTCTTCTCAGGGACCCCCTCCTGGGAAACACCACACTGGGAACACTGGGGGCACTGGGAGGGACTGGGAGGGGACTGGGGGGCACTGGGAGGGGATTGGGGGTGCTGGGAGGGACTGGGAGGCACTGGGGAGGGACTGGGAGGGCACTGGGAGGGGATTGGGAGGGACTGGGAGAGGGACTGGGAGAGGATTGGGGGGCAGTGGGAGGGACTGGGAGGGGACTGGGGGGCACTGGGGGGCACTGGGAGGGACTGGGAGGGACTGGGAGGGGATCTGGGGCGTCCAGGAAATTCCGAACTGGGAGGCTACTGGGGACCCTCCTGGGGAAACACTGGGAGCACTGGGAGTACTGGGAGGCACTGGGAGGGACTGGGAGGGACTGGGAGGGGGATTGGGGGCACTGGGAGGGGACTGGGAGGATTGGGGGGCACTGGGAGGGGATTGGGGGGCACTGGGAGGGATTGGGAAGGACTGGGAGGGGATTGGGAGGCACTGGGGGCACTGGGAGGGACTGGGAGGGACTGGGAGTGTCAGGAAACTGGGACGGGATTCTGTCAGGGACCCTCCTGGGGAGACAGCACTGGGAGACACTGGGAGGCACTGGGAGGGACTGGGAGGGACTGGGAGGGGATTGGGGGCACTGGGAAGGACTGGGAGGCACTGGGAGGGGACTGGGAGGGACTGGGAGGGGATTGGGGGGCACTGGGAGGGACTGGGAGGGGATTGGGAGGGACTGGGAGGGACTGGGAGGGGATTGGGAGGGCACTGGGAGGGACTGGGAGGATGGCACTGGGGGCACTGGGAGGGACTGGGAGGGACTGGGAGGGACTGGGAGAGGGATTGGGAGGCACTGGGAGGGGATTGGGGGGCACTGGGAGGGACTGGGAGGGGATTGGGAGGGCACTGGGAGGGATTGGGAGGCACTGGGAGGGATTGGGAGGGCACTGGGAGGGATTGGTGGGCACTGGGAGGCACTGGGAGGGCACTGGGAGGGATTGGGAGGCACTGGGAGGGCACTGGGAGGGATTGGGGGCACTGGGAGGCACTGGGAGGGCACTGGGAGGGGATTGGGGGCACTGGGGGCACTGGGAGGGGATTGGGGGCACTGGGAGGGGATTTGGGGGCACTGGGAGAGGACTGGGAGGGATCGGGGTCGTCCAGGAAATTCCAAACTGGGTTCTTTCAGGGACCCTCCTGGGGAAACACCACACTGGGAACACTGGAGGCACTGGGAGGGACTGGGAGGGATTGGGAGGGACTGGGAGGGATTGGGGGCACTGGGAGGGACTGGGAGGGCACTGGGAGGGGATTGGGGGCACTGGGAAGGACTGGGAGGGACTGGGAGGGCACTGGGAGGGGAGTGGGGTGCACTGGGAGGGGATTGGGGGGCACTGGGAGGGACTGGGAGGGGATTGGGAGGGACTGGGAGGGGATTGGGGGCACTGGGAGGGGATTGGGGGCACTGGGAGGGACTGGGAGGGGATTGGGGGAACTGGGAGGGACTGGGGGGACACTGAGGGGATCACTGGTGATTACTGGTCTATACTGGTCCCTACTGGCCTATAATAGTTCTCAGTGGTCTGTACTGGTCCATACTGGTTTCTAGTGAGCCCTACTGGTCCCTGCTGTTCTGTACTGGTCCATACTGGTCTCTGCTATTCTGTACTGGTTTCTACTGGTCTACACTGGTGTGTACTGATTTCCAATAATCTGTACTGGTCCCTGCTGGTCTGTACTGGTTTATAATGATCCCTACTGGTCCCAGGTGTTCTGTACTGTCTATACTGGTCTGTACTGGTCTATACTGGTGTGTACTGGTTTCTAATGATCCCTACTGGTCCCTGCTGTTCTGTACTGCCTATACTGGTCTATACTGGTGTGTACTGGTTTCTAATGATCCCTACTGGTCCCTGCTGTTCTGTACTGTCTATACTGGTCCGTACTGGTCCATACTGGTCTGTACTGATTTTTAACGACCCCTACTGGTCCCTGCTGTTCTGCACTGTCTATACTGGTCTGTACTGGTCTATACTGGTTTCCAATGATCACTACTGGTCCCTGCTGTTCTGTACCATCTATACTGGTCTATACTGGTGTGTACTGGTTTCTAATGATCCGTACTGGTCCCTGCTGTTCTGTACCATCTATACTGGTCTGTACTGGTCTATACTGGTGTGTACTGGTTTCTAATGATCCCTACTGGTCCTTCCCATTCTGCACTGTCTATACTGGTCTATACTGGTCAGTACTGGTCCATACTGGTCTGTATTGATTTTTAACTATCCCTACTGGTCTCTGCTGTTCTGTACTGGTCTATACTGGTCTGTACTGGTCCGCACTGGTCTGTACTGATTTCTAATGATCTGTACGGATCTATACTGGTCTGTACTGGTTTAAACTGGTCTGCACTGGTCCATACTGGTGCGTACTGGTCTCACCCTGCGGCTCCGCTCGTACTCGGCGATTTTCTCCATCTCCTCGTTCATCTGCTCGATGTTCTGGAGCCGCCGCTGCTCCCACTCCTGGAACCCCCAAAATCACCCAAATTCACCCCAAAATCACCCAAATTCATCCCAAAATCACCCCAAAATCACCCAAAATCACCCCCAAAGCACTCCCACTCCTGGAACCCCCAAAATCATCCCAAAATCACCCCAAAACCACCCAAATTCACCCCAAAATCAGCCCAAATTCAGCCCCAAAGCTGCTCCCACTCCTGGAACCCCCAAAATCACCCAAATTCACCCCAAAATCACCCAAATTCATCCCAAAATCACCCCCAAATCACTCCCAAAGCTGTTCCCACTCCTGGAACCCCCAAAATCACCCCAAAATCACCCAAAAACAGTCCCAAAATCACCACAAATCATCCTAAAATCATCCCAAAATCACCCAAATTCATCACAAAATCACCCAAAAACACCCCAAAATCACCCAAAAACACCCCAAAATCACCCAAACCCACCCCAAAATCACCCCAAAATCACCCAAAATCACCCAAAAACACCCCAAAATCACCCAAAAACACCCCAAAATCACCCAAAACCACCCAAATTCATCCCAAAATCCCCCCCAAAGCTGCTCCCACTCCTGGAACCCCCAAAATCACCCCAAAATCACCCAAATTCACCCCAAAATCACCCCAAAGCTGCTCCCCAGGACCTCCAAAGCCCCCCAATGCCCCCCACCCCCAGGCCCCCCAAACCTCCCCCAAAAAACAAGACCCCTCCCCACCTGTGTTTTCCTGTCGGGTCCAGGGTCGCCCCCGCCCCTCCCCTTCCCCGGGGTCTCGGGCCCAGGACCCCAGGACCCCCAAAGGGGCCAGGGGGCCCCGAGCCCCCTCCTCCCCGCGGAGGCGCCCTGAGATTTGGGGGTCCTGGGGCTTCTTGTCCTTGGGGGTCGTTTGTCCTGGGGGAGATGAGAGGGTCAGGGAGTCCCTTCACTGAGACCCCACTCAGACCCCAAATCTGCCCCCCAGAACTCAAATCTGCCCCCCCATCGAGACCCCCCAGACCCCAAATCTGCCCCCTGACCCCAAATCTGCCCCCAGACCCCAAATCCGCCCCCCACATCGAGACCCCCCAGACCCCAAATCCGCCCCCCACATCAGAGACCCCCCAGACCCCAAATCTGCCCCCCAGACCCCAAATCTGCCCCCCGACCCCAAATCTGCCCCCTCCCCACATTGAGACCGCCCCAGACCCCAAATCTGCTCCCCGACCCCAAATCCGCCCCCACATCGAGACCCCCAAATCTGCCCCCTCCCCCATCAAGACCCCCAGACCCCAAATCTGTTCCCCCAGACCCCAAATCCACCCCCAGACCCCAAATCCGCCCCCCAGACCCCAAATCCACCCCCACATCGAGACCCCTCCAGACCCCAAATCTGCCCCCCCAGACCCCAAATCGCCTCCCCACATCGAGACCCCCCAGACCCCAAATCTGCACCCTCAGACCCCAAATCTGCCCTCCCCACATCGAGACCGCCCCCAGACCCCAAATCCACCCCCATCGAGACCCCCAGACCCCAAATCTGCCCCCCGACCCCAAATCCACCCCCACATCGAGACCCCCCGACCTCAAATCTGCCCCCAGACCCCAAATCCAACCCCCTTCAAGACCCCCCAGACCCCAAATCTGCCCCCCGACCCCAAATCTGACCCCCGACCCCAAATCCGCCCCCACATCGAGATCCCCCAGGCCCCAAATCTGCCCCCTCCCCATCAAGACCCCCTCGACCCCAAATCCGGCCCCCCACATCGAGACCCCCACCCCAAAATCCCCCATCGAGACCCCCTCCCCAGACCCCAAATCCCACAGGGGAGGGGTTTGAGACCCCCTCCCCCAGACCCCCCATAAACCCCCAAATCCCCCTTGTGGGGAGAGTCCCAGATTTCCTCCCCTCCCCCTCCCCCAAATTTCCCAAAGACCCCCCAAAAACCCCCAAGGACTCTGAGCCCCTCCCCTCCCCAAAGACCCCTCCCCTTATTCTGTGAGGGGGTCCCATGTGCCCCCAAAAAAACCCCTCCTGGGGTCCCACTCACCGTGGGGGTCCCTGGGGGTCTCTGTCCCCCCCTCTGCGGGGGGGGGGTCGGGACGTCACAGCCCCCCCCTCGAGCTCCGCCCGCCGCCGATCCTCCTCGATCTCCTGGGGGGGGGAACCGGGACCCCCAAATTGGGGTGAGGGACCCCCAAAATGATGACAGGGACCCCCAAAATGGGGACAGAGACCCCCAAATTGGGGACAGGGACCCCCAAAATGGGGGGCAGAGACAGAGACTCCCAGGGGGAGGCACAGGGACCCCCAAAATTGGGACAAGGACCCCCAAAATGAGGACAGGGACTTCAAAATGGGGACAGGGACCCCCGAAATTGGGGTAAAAGACCCCAAAATGGGGCAGGGAACCCCCAAAAATGGGGTCAGGGAATCCCAAAATGGGGGGGGGAAAACAGGGACCCCCAAAATGGGGACAGGGACCTCAAAATGAGGACAGGGAACCCCAAATTGGGGGGGGGGAGCAGAGACCCCCGAAATTGGGGTAAGGGACCCCCAAAATGGGGGCAGAGACCCCCGAAATGGGGGCAGAGACCCCCGAAATGGGGGAGGGGGGGACAGGGACCCCCAAAATTGGGGACAGGGACACCCAAATTGGGGTCAGGGACCCCCAGAATGAGGACAGGGATCCCTAAAATGGGGACAGCGACCCCCAAATTGGGGTAAGGGACCCCCAAAATGGGGGGCAGAGACAGAAACCCCTGGGGGGGGCACAGGGACCCCCAAATTGGGGTAGGGGACCCCCAAAATGAGGACAGAGACCCCCAAATTGGGGACAGGGATCCCCAAAATTGAGGGGGGGGTCTCCAATGGGGGCTCTCCAAGAAGGGGTCAGAAATTGGGGGGATTCTGATGGGGGTCAGGGAGGGCATAAATTTGGGGTGAAGGGTTTTGAGGGGGATCTGAAAAAGTGGTGGTGGGAGCCATAAATTGGGGGGCACAGGATTTTGGGGAGGGGTCTCCAGGAGGGTCTCACAGTCCCAGGGTGGGGGTCATAACCAAAATCCCCCTCAGGGGGGCATCAAGGGATGGGGTGGGGGGGTCTCAATGTCGAGGGGGGTCTTGATATGGGGGGTCCCGAAATTGAGGGAGGGTCCCGAAATTGAGGGGGTCCTGAAATTGAGGGGGTCTCGAAATTGAGGGGGGTCGTCGTTTCCCCCCACCTGGTACCGCCGAACCAGCGCCTCGTTCTTCCTGCGCAGGGCGGCGATGCGGCGATCCAGCTCGGCATCCTTCTCCAGGGCGGCCGCCTGGGGGGGCCAGGGGGGGTCACAGACCACCCAGAGACCCCCACGGACACCCCCCCCAAAAAATCCCCGAGCTCTGAGACCCCCGGGAGCCCCCCCAGAGTCCTGAGACCCCTCCCCAAACTGCCCCGGTCCAGCTCAGCGTCTTTCTTTGTGACCCCTGCCGCCCCAGGCTGGGGTTTTTTGGGGGC